AAATTATATGAGTTAAAAATATCTCTATGATATGCATTCAAATACTTTTTTTATTTGCAAACCAAGCCTAATTCAGTGTATCACTGAAGGGTTCAACTGATATTTATTAACATTTTATCTTGCTACAGTTCACCGAAATGCCAATTTCTACCCATATAGTTACAACATGAAAACACAATTTTTTATCAGCCTGCAGTATGAAGTACAAAAAATTTAATGCTTTAATATTAAAAACTTATTTGCCATCTTAGATGATACCTGCCCATCTTCTTTCTATGATAAGAAAATTCAAAAATGCTCTTTTATTAAGTCAGCAAGAAAGATGAAGACAAAGATAAGAGTATCAAAGGTTACACAGTAATTGAGTTTTTTAAGTGCAAAAACTAGTGCAGTTTACAGCTACTTCTCATGAAGTAAAAATAATGTACAGAAAATATTTTATTCTGTGGTTTTTGAGAGGGTAACTACATTTATAACTTCAGTTATTCTCACCTGTTCTTAACAACTATTATTGTCCAATTTTTTTATTATTCTGTTCATCCAGTGTTTTACTTTTAACTACAAATTTCTGTTTGGAGAATTTAAAAGATTTACATTATAAACTTCTTACAAACATACATTCGTCAAAGAGAAGGACCGTTAGAATGTTAAATATGGTCAAAGTTACTTCTTCACTTATACAGATTTATCACTAATTGCTTGGGCAATTGCTCTTCATCTGTTAGCCTTATATTCATTGATGCAGTATACAGTTAAGGTGGAAATACTCTCTGGAAACATCTTGTTGTTTGGGTGAGCAGTTGAAATGTTATATATACAATTACTCTTGACCACTTCTAACAATTAGTGAGTGCTCATTTTAACCACTGTCCAACTAAAGAGAAAAGAAAATACACGTACTTGAGCATTAACATTGGCACTTTCTCTGATAAGGACTTCTAAGCATCCGCCACCATGTGTAGAAGCCGCAGAATAATGTAGAGGTGTCTAAAATCAAAATTGTACATTTTAAAAGTGTGGACCTGAATGTACAGATTAAAGTATCATTACATTGAAGCTCGATTTCCATTCACAAATAACAGTAACCAATTCTACTAAAATGATGAAGCATTATTTTACATTCTGAAACCATTTTCTTACATGACAATTTATGTCTATTATTTCTGCGCAAAATCAAACACAACCATTAATAGTTTTGGCAATTATTAATATCATTATGCCCTAGAAAGTTCACTACCTTTTACATTTGTATTTATTTATGTATTACAACCTCATTTATTTAGTAGTACAAATGACAGGCTTTCCATGTCATTAAACCATTTAAATGATTTTAATTGGCTCTAACTAGACATTTTTTAACTTTTTTTTTCTACTGGTCACTTCAAATACACTCTCTCAAATCAACTTTAAAAATTTAATAAAAAAATATTACTCTAATTCTATTTGAACACTATACAAAATTTATTTTTTTATTTCATAAATAAAAAAATTCTAACTTTATTGTTGTTCTGTCTAGGTATCTTTACCATAAACTTTGCCCTTCTAATATTTTCCCTTGTTATTTCCTAAACTTATTTTTTCTAATCAAATTTTAGCATCACTGGTTAGCTTGACATTTGGATTAGGTTTCTATGCTTTCTGTTTGCCCAAATGTAAATTTATTAACTTTAAGCTTTAAAAAAGAAATATAGCCTATATATTCAATTATCATCAGAAACTGATAATGTTAGTTTTAACATTAAATTATGTAAATCCCAATAGTGCTAAGTGTATGGTAGTTAAACCACTGAAAATGGTGAGATAAGTGTAGACAAACCTTAAGATGTCGTTTGAAATCTTTCTCAATTACTTAAAGGTTTGGGATTGTTTTTATAGTTTCTAATGAATATTCTTTTCATTCCTGATAAAGTTACTGTGTTATATCATGTCTATTTGAAAGCTACAAGAATATTCTTCTATGACAAAACATCAGGTAAGGATATTGAGGTTTAGCAACCATAGGATGCTCTAGCCTTTGATGGGAAACTATTTTGATGACACAGGGCCTTTTTTTTTTGAATAAACTATTAAAGTCTGTTGCATTTCAGCAACATACAAACACACGCACACAAAAAATACTTACTGATCACAAACTACAATTATTAGACATAGAATAATCTAGACTAAAAAAGACTGTTCACAAAATACCATGCTGCTAACCCTGGGAAAGTGTCATCACGTTGTAAAGTATCATTATCTCTCATACCATGTATGTATGTATGTTTAATGATGGAAAGTCAACTGTTTCAGTTAGCAAATTAAAATACCAGAAGAAATGCACACATGAACATCACACAGGATAATATCAACTAGATGGATAAAATTTAGCCTTTTGAACAATAGTAAAAAAATACAAATTCGAAGACAAAAGGATGCAATTTTTTGTTGTTGTTTTTCAAAATAATATTTAACAAAAAAATTTCATATATTTCACAAGCAACAAATTACACAAATACTGAATAAAATTTTATCATTTTTTTACACAGAATTTAGACTATTTGGATATTTGTATCAAGTTTCTTGCAAATTGATTAAGTATGTTTTATCAAATAACAAAGAGAACAGTGCATATGACTGATACACCTCCAGTCCAGAAAGATTAAATCTGGGGGATGAAAAACAGCTGCCTAGTTATAAAAACATTATAATTTATTCTACAGCAGCAATTCCATGAAGATGGTTTGGCGTTTATTAAATTATCTATAAACTTTAAAAAAAATCAAAGGAGTTTTTTTTTAAATTAAATATTGACGTGCCTGATATTTCGATGATACTCTAACACACATTACAAGGAAAGACTGCCTTCAAAACTTACTTTAAATAAACTTCCAGATTCATCAACAAGGAAGCACGAAGTTTTATGTTAACCGTATATGATTTCAAAAATTGCACATCTGTAACTTTAAGATGTTTAACAGTATAAAATTCTAAATATCCTAGTATATAGAGTAATATTTCCAATTCAGTGTTTAGCAGTACAGTGTTGTGTCTTTAGCCACATACAGGTGTTTTATGGAAATTCAAAAAAGTCACAGGAGAAAAATTAATAAATGAAACGTATTGTTTATATAAACTATATCACGTCTGGGACTGGTGAAGCAGGATCTCCGAGTTAAACACTGTTAACTCTTCCAGCCAGGATAAAGTGATTCTGCACATCGAGATAAGCTCAGATTTTGCATTGAAAGTAAGTATTGTATAAATATTCATAAGGTACCTGGGGTTGGTGTGCCACACTAAAATTTTAATTAAAGTTAGTATCCCTTGAGCGTGAAAAGGCTGGTATACAATGATCTACATCTAATTATAAAATAAAATTTGTTTTATAATTTCCAAAAAATAACTTTTTAAGAAATATTTATCCCAATTATTTCATATATATTATGAATTACAAACATACCCGAACGTTATTCTTTTTCATTTCTTAGTTAAGTAAAACCTAAGCTAAGAACCTTTGAACATCTTAATAGACATATCAATCTTAATAATGATTTTTTTATAAGAAAAAAATGTTTAATTATCTGTACTGATGGCCAAGTTGATTTTTGGTTTTGCTCTAAGTACCCAACCTACTCTGATTGTAAGTTATTATTATTTAACACAACACTCCCTGTAGTCACGGCTAACTACTTAGTTACAGTCTGATAAGCATATACTTACCAATCCTTTGTGATTCACAGCATGAATGGAAGCTCCATGTGATACGAGTTCTTCTGCCACATCGTCATGTCCATTAAGACAGGCAATGTGGAGTGAAGTATTACCATATACATTCACAGCATCGATTTCAGCTCCAAGTTCCAGAAGAAGCTGAATGGCCCCTAAACGACCATTTGCTGCAGCAGCATGAAGAGGAGTGTACCACTTGATTAGGGAAAGTAAACAGACTTAATCCCTTATAACAGTAAAAAGCTTACAGCAGAATTATCAAAAGGAATGACTTTCTTCTAAAAGGTCACATAGAAACAGAGAAAATTCATCCTCCATTCTACATTTACTTTAAATTCATCATAGCAGCACGGAGACATTTTTTAGGTTTATTACATTGTCTATCTAATGTTTGCACCACCAGCTGATATTGTTTCCCAACTAAAGAAGGATCTCGGCTCGTGGTGCACTATCATGTACCTCCAGGCAAATGATTCTAGAATTGGTATACTGAACACTTGCATAAATTCTTTTGACAGAATTATAATTATTAAATATACTACTATAATATAATTTCTACAGTAATTCTTATGCTGTTAATTTCTAAAAAAAAAAAAATCTTAATGAGAGCAATCAGAGATATTGCATACACTCACCCTGCTGCAAATTTTTGGATTTTTGGTTTCGATGTGAAATTTGGTCTTAATCCAATCACTTTTCACACAGTTATTTTCAACAAAGTGAGAAAATGCCCTATATCTCCATTATAGAAATATCTCAAAGTGATCCAGAATCCGGATCGGGACCAGATTTTGGGAGGACTGTCCTATGGGGTCACTCTATCTTCTGGTAAAAATTTCATGTAAATTGGTTTATCATTTTCCAAGATGGACCCAAATGCAATACCCCCCCTCCTCCAAGGCCGAGGGTAAAAATCAAGAGTAAGGTTATATATGCATTCACATACTTGTGCAGTAGGTATACTGAGTAGTGGCACAAAATTCTCCATTAATTTATCTGCTTTCTTGTCAAATCATATATTAAAATTATCCACAAATAAAGCAATCTGTGTGTAGTACTATAAGATCACACGCTATAGGTTCTGGTATAGGGGTTTATAAACTAAAAAATATCTAAACATGGACGCCTAGTAAACTGCCTAAATACCACATTTAATATAAGTGGTAACTCATTTAACAGCGTGATTAAAGAAAAGGATCTTGGCAAAGTGGTGGATACATCACTCATACTACCAAGTCAGTGCTCTGTAACTAACAATAAAGCTAATTTTAGGATTTATTTATAGAGATACTGATAAAAAATTATACTGACTTATTGGAAAAGGTTTAGAGAAAAGCTATTATGATGATTCTGAAGATGAAAGGGTTATCCTAAAGGGATGGGTTCAGATATTTTCTCTTGAAAAAAAAGAATGGTAAGACCTTATCTTAATGATTAACTAGGAATTGATATGTTAAAAGCCTCTGGTTTCTTAGTACTGAAAGATGAAAGAACACAAGTTTATGATTTGAAAAAAAAATAGGCAAAAACAGTTAACAGTTTAATTTTTCTAGTAGGTTATTTACCTCCATCACTGAAGGTGGATGGAGGTTATGTTTTCACCTGTGTGTGTGTTTGTCAGCAAGATTTCTCAACTCAAAAACAGCTGAATAGCCTTAGATGAAAGTTGGTATACATTTGGACTACAACAAAACTTAGAAGTGATTAGTTTTTGGAGAGTCAAAGTCACTAAAATAAAAATCAACAACCCTATCTGTTAACATAGGGAACACACTGAAGGTGGATGGAGGTTATGTTTTCACCTGTGTGTGTGTTTGTCAGCAAGATTTCTCAAATCAAAAACAGCTGAATAGCCTTAGATGAAAGTTGGTATACATTTGGACTACAACAAAACTTAGAAGTGATTAGTTTTGGAGATTCAAAGTCACTAAAATAAAAATCAACAACCCTATCTGTTAACATGGGGGCCAAATTTTTCACACTATTTTTACTCTATAACTCAGTCAAAAATGAATGAATTTTGATAAAAGTTTGTGGATATATGTAGAATATTATTCCTCATTGTCCTACCCAAAATGGTCTATGTCCACTGATGACAAAGGACATACAGGCACATTTTCATATTTTTTGAGAGCTGAATATCATCAATGCTGTGTGGCAGAAGTATGTGCACTACTGAGTGACCCTCTACTTAGCTTATCAGTTGCAGTACTTACTTGTAGAGGCTGAAACCTTATGGGATTTAAGAGGAAAATCAATGAATTCCTGAAAAGTAAAGGGTAGGTTTAACATTTGTATTTTTACATTTTCTCAGGGCTGGGTGTACAAAGACAGCCTTGAAGGACCAAAGGTTTTTACGCTGCCTGTATGTCTCAGAAGTTACTTAAAAAAATATTGTAACATTGAATATTATAGCTCATTTATTAAATGTTAAAAAACAAAAACAACAGCCGTATTCAGTACCTGTTTGTCCCTGACATTCAGCTCTGCTCCAGAATTCTTCAACAACTGAATAACATCTGTATGCCCCATGTACGCAGCCCAGTGAATTGCTCGCCTTTCCTTCTTGTCAAAAGAATTACACGTAGCTCCATTCTTGAGGAGAAGATCAACCATCTAGAGAGAACAGAAAACATTTAAATGTCACTGACAGTACAAAAAACACCTTCAAAATTTTTACTTGTTAAAGTTTAGGAAATTCATCTACACAAAGAACAAAGGTATCAGAATTTAATAAATATACATTTCAATTATGGCAAGTTAAATCTTTCAAACAAAAACATCAATGAAAAAAATTAATCTGATTTTTTTCTCTTTATTCTACATCCAGAAACAAAGAAATACCTTAATGTAATGTTAAGATAAATCACTAACATCTATTGCAAATTATATATTCTTAACAGTATGTTAATAACCAGATTTAATCTTTTGTTACTGATACCATGAATAAGAAAAATACTAACATTTGTAAAACAAAATCACATGTTAGTGATTATACACATTAGTGTTAAAAGCAGGGTCATTTTCAAGTGCAACATCTCTGTGCACAGAAACTATAACATTCAGTAAATTGTCATCTTCCCTTTCTATTATAAATAAACAAATACCAAATATCAGATAAAATTATTGATATTTTTAAAAGATAGGAGGTGAAATAGGTTTAGTTTTATCTAACCCCACAAAGCAAAAAGTGTAGTTGTTATAAATTTATACTTAAATTTGAGGATATCTAACTTATGAGTGAATAAGGCCTTGAAAACTAAGAAAGTAAAATAGGGGTAGGAGGAAATTCTAAAATGGGCAATTTGGAGAAGAGAGTCTGCTTCAAATGACTTAATAAATTCATAGACAAATCTTTAGGAAAAATGTTAAAAATTCTGCTTTTCTTTGTATAAAACATACTTGTAATGTTTACAAAAAGCTTTCCAAATTTTGTAAAGATACACAAACAATTTGAAATTATAGTCAACATTAATTCTTCAATATGGGCTAAACACACGTTTAAAATGTGTGCTAAGAAAACCATGATTCTCATATAGTATATGGGCTATGTAAAGGATGCAGGGTGTAGTGGTGTGTTTTTGTCATGAAAACTTCATGACAGCCTTTTGCAATAGAAACTACAATGCAGTGCTATTGTTATCAGACAGAGCATGACATGGACCGAGCAACAAACTGTTTTAATGTAATGTACTCAACTTCTGTTAAGCATTTCAAACTAATATATTGAACTCAATATAATTAACAAAAAGTTCTTCCATTTTCTTATCATCATCTTTATTAGACTAGAAATTTTTTTGACAGTACAGTTCAAGTATGTAAACCCTATATTGTTTAAAAAATATTAAGGTAATATGTAAAACAAAAAATGCTCATTTTCAGGTGTATTTTTTTATTGTAAATAACAGTACAAATTATCAACACAAGATTTGATCTAATTTAAAATACACCCTCTTTTGTACCCATTTTCATCTACTTAAGTTGGTAATTTTATAAAACAAACACAAGCTAATCTTTAAATTATCTCATTTAATTACTTCAAGAAAAAGAGGAAACTTTTCCTCATGCACAAATACCTCTGTATGTCCATTATAAGAGGCGTGATGTAGACTAGTGCGCCCTGCTCGATCTGATACATTCAAATTATTCTGAAGAGGTATAATGTATTTTGCACATTCTATAGCATTGTTGGCTGCCGCTACATGGAGAGGAGTCTGCCAACTTTTGTCTCGGGCATTAACATCTGCTTCATGTTTAAGTAGTGCCTCTACTGTGTCCTACAAAAGTCAAAAATCAAGTTGAAACAATAATTATTGTACATCTTCATGCTATGGATGCTCTTTCTTTTTTTTTGAAATACAGGAAAATTTCTTACATGTGTACAACATGATAATGTGACTAATTTTTATCAGAAAACAGTGAAAATAAACTAATTTATTTTGAAATACCTCACTTCCTGTGGAACATGCACGATGCAGTGGAGTTACCCAATGATTATCTTTTGTGTTAACTCGAGCCCCACTTAAAATCAAAATATCTGCAATTTCTGCTTCTCCACAGAATGCTGCAGCATGGAGTACACTTCGACGTTCTGCATCTTGATAGTTCACATCTTCTCGCTGTAAAATCAGTTCACGAACCTCATCCACATCTCTTTTGAACACAGCATGAACAAGTAAAGGCTGAAAACAAAAAAGAAAATTCTTGTTAGAGTCCCATAATTAATGTTATTAGTAGAACATCATAGACAAACCACAGAAATGCAAGAGATCCTAACACGAGTTATTTCCATTTTATTCTTGCTAAAAGTCATCTACACAAAAAACAAAGGTATTAAAATTTAATGAATTTTACAAGTTTATATTTAAGACATTTACTAAAGAAGTTCTTATATGATATCTATATATTTTACAATTACACTAGTAATATGTATTTACTATCAAATTGACTTTCCACAAAAATTACTGAATACTTATGTTTAAATACTACAATAGTGTTTAATATCTTAGGTAACACAAGCTGCGAAGAACAAGGCTTAACACTTCAGATTCTGAAACTAATCCAATTTATTTATGCTTTTATTTCTATGTTAGAATATTACCATAAGAGTTTCTGTTTGACTTTTGGATGTTAATAGTCCTTGACTCAGACTTCACCCCAAGCTTTTAAACTCCACTGAATTAACAGATTTAAAATTCTACAATTCAAATAGGCACTTACGTAAATGCACATAAAAGTTTTGGTTTCAACTTCTACTATCAGTCTATCTTTTGATTGATAATTCACACTGTCCCCTACCAAATCCAGCTATGTTAATCACTCCAGAAGAAAAAAAGTAAGAAGAAAGGCAGAAGGAGAATGTCAACTACCTACATACCATCTTTAATAAAAATGACTAAAGGTAATAGTCAGGATTCAGAAACTGGTGACGAAGTAGCATGATGAAGGCATCCCCCAGTGGTGTTTTGCATTGTAATAGTGAGCATGGAGAGTTCCAATTGGAAGTTGAGTCCTAAGGCCTCAACAGAGCAACAGCTTCACAGTGCCAATAAAAGACCAGGGCTCAACTCACAGTAAATACACTATACAGACTTCTTAACGTACTGCTCAGTTAAAATTGCAAGCAAGCAATGAAACAATGAATAATTATACATTGCGAAAAAAAACAAAACAAATTAATCTTCATGGTAAATTGGTAATCAATGAACTGTATATGTTTAACAGCGGAAAACAACCTGATGCAAACTTTGTGTGCTTTATTTGATATTATAGGGTACCACTCAGAAAATGTGTTTAAAAAAACTATATCAGAATAAATTAAAATGAAGGTTGTTGGATGAGATACAGAAAAAAATTTTATTAATGAATTTCAGCCACATTGGACCATTGTTATAGTGGAATGCCTTATACGTGAGTCTGGGCACTCACTTTTAATTTATCTTTGTGATACTGATGAGGGCATGATTAATAAACGAGTAAAATCTGCTTATTACATTAATTTTAGATATCACCATCTGTATTGAGGTACAACATAACTTGGATAAAGTTGGAAAAGTAGTTTGTACGTTTCTTTTAATTATAGCAGGTGTAACGTAATGTGTTTGCCTGAACTTTGGTTACCATAGTTTGAATCATATATAATATAGATAAAAATCTACTCAATAGTGTGGCTAAGGAAAAAGATCTTTGAGTAGTGGTAAATAAGTCACTCAAGCTACCAAAGCAGTACTCTGTTGCTAGTATCTAACAGAATCTTAATATTTATAGACATTTAATACCAGTCCAAAAATGTAATTATCTATAGAATTTAGCATACTTTTGATCAGGAATTATAGTGATAGTGATACTCCATGTTACAAATTACAAGTACTACTGAGTACTGTTGCTTTATACTTATAGTTATACTTCTCAGTAATTATGTGTAATTTTGAGACAATAGCTTAGTCAATTTTAAAATGTAAAAAATGTTTTCTTCCTTTTTTGAATATTCTGTATTAGTGTGGTAATGGTAAAAAACATCTCATGTCGCTTTTCAATCTCCATTGAATTTGAAACTGAATTTTTGTTTTTTAACGTACAGTGAATTTTATTTGTAGGCTATATTAGTATATCTATAAAAATATACATACATATTTATATATTGAGAAGATGTGAAGAGAGATGTTGTTAACCTAATGTTAATATTCCAAGTTTATTATTAAATTTAAACTATATTGAGCATTTAGGCTAAAAAAGTTTAGGCCTAACTTTGAAAGTTAGGCTTAAGAGTACTTCAGAACGCTTAGTCAACATTAAACCTAAACACGACAGCATACTCGCCTGTCGTTTTAACCCGCACTAACTGGATGCTGAAATCGTTCGAATGAACTGGTCTGTCTTGGGCTATTGAGTATTTCTCGGGAGTTGTATCATAGAGCCTATACGCTTGTCTTAAGCCTGATTAATATTGAGTACGTAAAAAATTAGCAGCTATTCTTTGAGTACTTACCTCATCAATTAACTGAGATATTACCATAATGTTTTTGATGTTTCAAGAATAGTTATCATCAGTCACAAATTTTACTGCTGAAATTTAAATGGAAAATAATTACTAACTTCCTCATGACCGGTTCTCGCTTCCCGGTCTTACAGTTCACACAAACATTACATGTACTTCTTATAAACCGTCACTAGATGGCAATAAAAAAGAAAAGGTAAAATGTTTATCAAAAAAGCGAGACGCGTGAAAATACACAATTATATGTATATTTACAATCCTATTCCAATGTGGGACTGTTAAAATAAATTTTCTCACTCGAAAACAATGTTTGCCACTGTACTTAGATTTAAAGGGCTTTTCGCAGTTTTTCACCTGATAATTGTAAAATGTTTTTCCTTTTTGGAGGCATTTCTAATTCACATGACAATATGTATAATATAATATATATATATTGTAATAATTTGCAATATTTATATCTTAAAAAGTATTTAATAACGCCATACTGGTAGTGTTAGAAATCAGAAAGAAATATTACAATATTACGTTTTTCAAAATTAGTTTTGTTAACAACTAGGCTATTGTTATAAGCTATATTTTAACATTTTAATTTAGAGGTATGTTTGCCAGAGAGAGAATATGTTGTAGACTAGAAGTAGTAAGTATAAAGCAAGAACAATATAAATACCAAAATCAGTGAAGAACGGAGTTAATAAATACCAGTTAGCGAGTTAATAATTGAGTTAGTTCAGTGCCAGTTAGACTGTAAAAGCTGTAGCATCAATGATCCAGTTAGACAGTGGAGATCAGTGAGTTTGTGGTTGAAATTCTGTGAGTAAGTTTTTATATGTGAGCTACTTAAGAACATGTTCGTTTTTGGACGTTTTATTAAACAATATTTGAACCATATTTTGAAGTTAGGTCTGCAAGCAAACCTAATCTATAACAAAAGTTACTAATTTATTGGAGCAATAGATTAATTCTTATCATCATCTAGATTATATTAGGTATAAATTTTTTCAAATAATCCAAAAGAACCTGCTCAATGGTAAAACTCGTTATAACACTATATAAGTAATTGAAGACAGATAATATATATATATTTTTAAACATTACATTAGCGATATAATGATGATATTTTACTTTCAAGATGTGCTTAAGGCTATGTTCTTGGTGAATGGACTGTATTTTTATGGGATGTTCCTGCATTTTCTTTGATCTTGAGATGATATTTCAGGTTCTCGGTATATACAGTGCTTCAGGAGATATTCAGTGAATGAACAGAGATTTTTGGTATTAAACATCACCCTTGTTCCAAAGCCTGGAGAAGGTCAAATCCTGCTATTGAGTCAGAGAAGAATAGACCCAGAGCTGGCAGTGGGTGCTGTTGACTAACTTCCTTCCTTGTACTTTATTAGTTCAAAAGTAAGAACATCTAGCGCAAATACCCTTGGGTAGCTTTGTGTGAATATCCAAAAACAAACATACAAACGTTAAATTTAGGGATTCGTGGTTGACATATATAGATAGCCAACTGTGTGGCTTTGAGCTAAAAGAATAAAAAAAAACCTTCATGTGCGACACGTTAAGCAATCTGTTGCTTCTCTTCTTAATAATCATTTTGTAATTTTTCACAAATTATTGTTCAGAAATGTTTTCAAAAACTTCTCTGAACTACTGATCAATTTTGAGTTATTATATATTTGCTTTAAATGAGTTATTACAGTTATAAACAAGGCATTCTGATCTGACACTCCCAGCGAGTCCACTTTATAGCCCCCGAGATATGTCATAAGGTTTCATTTAGGTTTGAGTCTTTTTAAAGCAAACTCTTGAGACGGGATGCATATATAAGCAATTATGCACCAAGAGAGCATTCAAAAGAAAATAGCCGATGTATCTAGTCAACACCCAGAGAAAACTTAGTGGCCCTCAAGAATACCAGATCCAAATGTAAACACCATATAGCAATCTCCGGGGAATCTTAAGAGCACATGTTATGTTTGTTAACAATCGATTAAGTGGTTTGCCAGTTATAAGCGGACACAATATACAGACTTTTGTCAAATAGTTGTTTAGATCATCACTTTCTGAACCATATATCAACTAAGTGAAGCCCTTTGAACAATCGCATATGTTATTACTATTATGAGAAGTATTAACTAAAACCTATAAAAAACGTACAGGGATGAACCCTCCAACAAATTATTCATTCAAAATTTTTAAGGTATGTAATTCTAGCTACCAAACAATCTGGGTTATAAACATTAATTTGTCATTGGTAATACAAATAGGCTTCTCTGGGTAAAAGTTGTTAAAAGGCCAATCGACTTACAAGCTAACAGGTTTTGCTCCACCTGTGCATGAAAAAAAAAAGAGTCAGATAAAGGTGAGTGACTTCATTATCATCCTCATCTCTCATCCTTTGAAGACAAGAACTTCAAAGTACTACAGTTTGTGTGGTTCATAATTTTTACGAAAGACTTCACAAAGAGGTATCTGTCCAAAACCATTTCTAATTTTTAAATGATAAACTAAAGGGAGGGTAGCTAGGCAAAATACCCACCACCACTTCAGTTCTCTTGTCTAACTGAATTATGGTATTTGAAAGTTAGTCTTATAGGGTACCACAGATTAACAAATTTCCAACCTTAAACTTTAGGTATAGTGACTTTTGAAAACCCGTTTCTACATTACAATAAATATACTGCTAATTACTTTCAAACTCTTAAATCACAGGAAAGGACAAACTGTGTAAATCACAAGCACCTGTTTTGAAACTCCTGGGGTTTTCATCTTCTTTAGATGATGCTTTACAGGTACGTGTACTTCCATTTCCTTTACATGGGGAGGGCCTAACATGGCCTGGTGGTTAAGGCACTCGATTAACAATCTGAGGGTCGCGGGTTCGAATCTCCGTCTCTCGTCTGACGCATTTCACATTACTGTCTTCTATTAAGCCTTAATACTACTGTAAGGCTCTCCATAATCACAAGTAAACACGTTTATCATTACTCTCAGTTCCTTGTTTTCTCACTAGATTCCTTTTTTTTCCATTTCCAATATATATGCAACCGAATGTTTGCTAGTTACTGTGATCGTTACCAACTGGATTCAGTCTGCAAGGTAGAAGCCAACCTCTTTATCTGTTCCAGACTAGTGTTGTTACTTGAGACTATCGTTTTACCATCCTTAACTGATACAAGACCGAGGTCACTAATCGTTCCAGCTATTAGTGTATCCAGACATTTTATCCCTGCTTTTGTTTTATGATGATCATCACTTTCAAATTTCTTGTTCTTTCTTTCTGTTTTCTCATTTTAACATCCCTTGAAGTTTTGATAGCGGTTGCTAATGATATCATTCCTCACCAACTTCGTAATATTTCAGGTTAGTCAGTCATAGATATAAGATAACACTAAACCTTTTAAGTCACAAGGTTATTTTATCTAAAAACTACCTAACATTGTAAAAATACTAAGTAGCTAAATTGTTGATGAAAGCGTTTGATTAAAAATTTTATATTTCCCTCTTCAGCTGTGCAAAAAAGATAATTCGGAAAAGCTGTTGTCATGAAAAGTGTGTGATGAAGCTGCTAAATCCATTTGTGGACAAAAATTGTCTGTGGATCTGCTACATCTTCTTCTCCCTCTACATCAAGTTAAGTGAGCATACAGCAGATGTTCACGTACTCCATAAGCCATCATCAGCTAAAGCAACTGTTCCTCTTGGTCATATTTATAAACATTTATGATTTTTGTTATCATTTTTTTCAATTTTAAACAGTCGTCTCTCTCCCAGATTTTGGCATTGTGAATTATATGGGTAGGTGAAAAGTTACTGGGAACTGCTACCCACAAAAGTTGGCTTTTAAAGACATGTGGATCTCAGATGCAACTTCAAAGCCGGTAATGAAGTTTTTATTTAGGATTTCAGTCACAGTTTAAATGCCGATCTCTTAAATTTCAAGCTTAAATTTATCTACTGAAATATTCAACATTAATAACATGTAAGTAATGGTACTCTGACTCCTCTGGAAATGGACTGGCTAGGTATAAAGCTAGCGATGACAGAAGGAAACTAACCTTCACCTGTTGATCCAGGTGTTTTTTACCCTGGTTTAGGTTGTACAAAGTCTTCATCATTCTTCCTTGGCTTGTCTAGTAAAATCTGTACTGTTATAAATCCAAAAATGCATTTTTAAATATATGTATTATCATCTCTTTAGACATTCTGAGCTGTTTCACTAGAGAATCATTTCGCTGTCTTTGTGTCTGAATATGATAAAGTATCATATTTTTTATAGAATATTAGAATATCGTACTTGCTTCCTTGAAATTACGATACCACATTTGAAAAAACAAATAAACAATAAAACAAAAATCTATGGTTGGAAATGACTAACTTTGGTTCTGATTAGGTCTAACTTTAATTAAGGGTTAAAAGTTATAGTAAGTGTCTTTGAAAAGTAATTAAATATCATGTTTTTTGAATTTTTTTGTTTCAGTGCACCAGTAAATATCAACTCCACTCCGACTTAACTTGATTTATTAAAGCATGGTTAGTGATATTACCTTAGATTTATTACATGCTCATCTTCTTGGTGATGTGGTCAGGGTCCAGTTTATACAGTTGTTGTGTATCATTGTAGTGAAAGTTCTAACTATGAAGTGTTCCTCAACCTGGAAGATCTACAATGCAGAGAAGAGGTTCGATAGAGTCTTTGCTGCCAATCTATACCTAGAAGACATGGATAGCCCACTGTGGAAGGATGTTGTGACCAGATAACCTCTCCCATTTCATGTGTTGATATGTTGGGATTTAAGCCCACCAGATTAATTGGATAGAGGCCACCAACCAAGAGAGTGACAGTATTAAAAATTACCAGAAATATATTATTTTTGACAAGAGATCAAATAAACACCACACTGATATATCAGGAATGGAAGTTGTGGCTAGCAAGGAAAATTAAGTAACTTTAATATGATGCATTGAAGTAATATGGTCAACAGAGTGCTAATATGGTTGAAGGAGAGTGCAAGAGCTCAGGCTGGTTCCTAGAGAGATAGATGACATTAAAGGACACATAAAATGGATGAACATATAAGTAGCGACAGTTAGATGTACTCTGTTCAGCTGG